ATTGATTTTAGGTGGCACAGGCGGAAGTGATAGAATTAGCTCTTTCCTCTGTTACCAGGGCAAAAGGAGATAGGAGCGCTATTCCCAAGCATTAGAGCTTTTGCTCTTTGGTTACCAGCATGTTTTAAAAAGCACTTCAGTGGGCCTGACTTTGAAAAGAGCAGGAGCTTGCTCTTCTGCCAAACTTTATCAAATTTAACATGCAGTTTGACATATTGCGACTTGGATATGAGCATGCAGATCTGACTAGCAGAGTGCTAAGCAGGTCATTTGCCTGTGCAGGCATGTTGATTAAGGGAAGATGGGACTGAAGGGCATTTTCCAGCAACCAAAGGGCAAATCCTGTCAGACTGAACTGCCACAACTCTCTTAGCAATGATGTAGAATATTTGCTCAATGCTTTGCTGAACATGCTCTTTTGTTTTAATCTCTCACTAACTGCGTAGTAGTGGTACTATTTTTTTTTATTTCATCCTTCCTTTTTAATATGATTGGTGTTTATGCTTTTAGTTTCTTGTCCAGTGGCTGACTAGCAATTTTTGAATTGAGTTTCCTTGCTTCATCAGTAGGCTTCAACACTTTTGTTTGGAAGCTAAATTTTAATTTTAGTGACCTGGAACTCATCCTGGTGTCTCCTTGTTGCTTCTGCTCTTGCTCCTAATGTCTTTTTTGAGATGTTTACTCATTCACTTAATTCTTCATCTTTCTTCAGAGGATTTTCCTCTGTGTTGTGGAAGCAAATCTTGCTATTTTAATTGAAAAGAAATTTGACAACTGAAGTGTGAATATGCGTGTGAGTCAGTGAATGTGTTAAACACAGAAATAATAATTTGTACTATTCCATTCCTGAATTGATTCTGCAAAGGTATCATCAGTTCCTGTAGAAGAACTTCTTTAATTCTGCATGTCAGCAGAAGCTCAGAACCAAGCAGCATCCTCCTGTATCAGCAATGTTGTGGCAAGTTAGATGAGGATAATCTAAATCTGAATTTAGACCACGATTTTAAAGCTCCCTCTACAAATAATATCTCTTTATGAATTTTATTAATATTCCATATTTATCCCTTGTGTTTTCTAAAATCTACTGAATGTACTTATTGGCTTCAAAATACAGTGTGTTTTTTCAGTTTGCTTTATAAACTTCAGTTTCACTGTACTCAGTTTCAAGGAACAACTTATAAGCTGCAGTATTTGCTTATAACTACGCCCTTCTGTTATATTGCTTATAACTAATCCCTTCTGTTGGATTTTTGGAACTTTGTGCACTGTTAATGAATGACGTTATTTATATTCTTGCTGGAGTATTTACAACAGGATATCATGCATAACAGGTGGTGCATAGTGATGTTAACAGACCAGAAATTAAGCACCTATACTTGTTTTATTCCTAGAGTTTTCTTAGACCTCAGTCTGTGATACACCTCTTATTTTGATTTAAAATAAAAGGATAAACATGAGAATACTCTTGTCCATTCATAAACATTCTTTTATTCCAAGAAACAATGCAATCCCTCTCAGATTTGCAAACTAGCTCCACCTTCTGGGGACTGGACATCCTTATTAATTGGGATCAAGAATATTCAGAGTGAACAAGGAGTAGGTGATTGTTATGGAAAACATGCAAGGGTTGTCTTCATTTCTTTTGACATGTACAACTCTACTTATATTCTATGACTATTTATCTTTCCTTAGTCACTAGGGGTAAGGTTTTCTACAAACTTAAAATTTTTATTGTTTTCAAAGAAACCTAATACATATGTAAGTGAAGCTCTGTATTCCTTGGGACATTAAATACTCAGTAGGATTTATTTTTAATAAATTTAGTTGGAATGTCCTCAAATGAAAAAACAGCCTTGAGAATTTCAAATCTTCTAATTCTTTTTTAATGCAACTATTACAGACAAAAATTACTTGTGTTAGTAAGTTAGTATTCCAGACACGTCACCTCTCCTCAAAAAAACTATATGAGAAAATTATCTTGAAGCTACCACAAGGTATGTGCAAAATAATTTGTAAAATCATAATAGAAGGTAGTTATCAGTTGTTTACTGCTAACCTGGAAGGCTGCATGAAGGAAAATCCACTTACATTTGATCTGGATCCGGTATTATTCAATATTTTCATTACTGACTTGGCTTATGAAATATGGATGATGCTTATAAAATTTGCAGATGCTTAAAGCTGGGAGATGCTTTAAGCACCATGGGAGCAGGATTAGAATGGATCTTGATGAAATGGAGAGCTGAAATATTAGGATGCAGTTCAGTAAGGACACATACGAAGTTATGTTCCTAAAGGAGTAGAAATACTCAGTGCAGATGGGTTGGTTAAGTGGCAGCTCAGTAGAAACAGATCTAAGTGTTGTGTGACTTGTGGCCAGTATGTGATCCCCCCTGTTCATAGAATCACAGAGTGGGTTGGGTTGGAAGGGACCTTAAAGGTCATTTAGTTGCAACCCACTTCTCATGGGCAGGCACAACTTTCACTAGACCAGTGTGCTCAGAGCCTTTTCCATCCTGGCCTTGAACACTTCCAGGGATGGGGAATCCCCAACTTCTATGAGCAACCTGTGCAAGTTCCTCACCACCCTCACAGTAAAGAATTTTTTCCTATTGTCTAGTCAAACCTACAACCTTTTGGTTTGAATCCTTTCCCCCTTGTCCTATCACTACATTGTCTTCTTTTATGAAAAAGAGTGTCAGAAAAAAGCTCTTTAGCTCTATCCGTATAACCTGGAATTGTAATAGCAGGTTTACAAAGTGTAGTTAGTTTTAGAAATGCAGCTTTTTCCCTTGCCCTGTCAGAGTATACTTGCAAGATCCCTGGCTGTGTCTGTAGCCAGCTCTGCTTTCCTGTGAAAGTGGAACAGATGTTTTTTCACTGTATCTTCAGGTCAACTTTCAAGTGGCCAAGTATGATCTTTTTTGTTTATTTGCTCAAGTTAGAAGCAGATAACAAACTCTATTCTTATCACAAACAGCCCTGCTCGTTGGTTCAGTGTGCATTACATCTTTTGATCTTATTTTACTGCAGTTGCTTTTACTTGCATATATTTATTGATTACTTTAATAAATGACTGTAATTTAAGACTTGAAAGGAGAGTTTAGATTGCCTGGTCTATCTAGTCTGTCTTCCAGTATGTCACACCTTGTTGTCTCCCATATTTCTAAATTCAACTGTGTCTTGCAGCAGCCTCTGGCCTTTTGTTGTTCTTTTGCTTTTATTCCCTGGAATAAACACCCCTCTTAGTAGTTGTTATTTTCTCCTCCTGAAGAAGGGAAATCAAGTTGCTGCTCACCCTTTTTTCATCAGCTTAAGGAGATTAAGCTCTAAATCTTGCTAGCTCTCCTCCATTTTTTCAGCAGTCTCTTTAAAATGTATACACCAGACCTTGGCATGTGTAGTGTCAGCACTCCATTAGTCAATGGCATGTATAAAATCACCTCTTTTTGCTTGAGTATGTAACCTGAGGATGGCTTATGGTCTGTTTTGTTCGTGATGAGTTTCACTTGATAGCTGCTGTTTTCCCTGGAACAGTTCTTCAGTCTGTATTACTCATGCTTAAATATGTATGACTGTGTTAAAACACATGTTGTCTGACCACAGAGACATTATTTGCAAAGGAACTCAGGTTATTCTCTGTGACTGCTCTGCCCCTGTTATTCTTTCCTGTACCTTATTTTTTACTGTTTCTCCTGGCTTTCAAAGTTCGCTCCAGTCTTCTTGGCTACACTTTTATTAATTTACGTATTTTTCTGGAGATTAGCCAAATTGACATTGCAACAGCTTTGTCTTCCTGCCTAAAGAACCTCTGTCCTAATGAGTCTTTCATTGGCCTGACTCAGAATGTTACCTGAAACAACATGCTGCTGTCTTGCACCTAATCGCAGTTTAAATGGAACAGGTTTTAATTATCATTGATTCCTAATTACAGAAAATATGAGCCAGCAATGAACTGTATTAAGTCAGTTACATTCCAAATTTTTATATAGATTCTTCTGGACTGTTGATTTTTTTTTGTTTGTTTTAAACTATATCAATGAAACTGAGATGTAAGATTCTGAAGAAGGGTGATTTGGTTGGTTGGTTTGTTTTATTATTTACTCAGCTTAGGGGGTAGGCAAAGCCATATTGCAACTACAAGGCAGGTCTGATGTTATGAAATTCTGTAAAATTTGGGAACAGCTTGGATAACTGGGCCAATTTGTATAAGCTGTTCTGATTTTCTCTCATTCCTAGTTAGCACTTTGTTTCATTTGTAATGTATTAAGGAGTCCCATCTTTCAAGCATTTCGCTGGTTTGGTTTTTCTGATATTCCTAGCAAGTATTTTAAGAACAAAACATGTTTCAAAATAGTTTTAAATCTCTCTGCTCAAAGTAGCTAAAAAAGTTAATTCAATATCTCTAAATATTTAAAGAGAACGATATAGAGAAAAGCTAAAAGAAAACGAATGTGACTTGAAGGTTATTAAGCAGGTAATATCCTTCCATTTACCCACTAGTTATTCTGTTCTGCCTTCCAGCACCCACTTTTTCTTAAATATAGGTTCTTCTCCCCACTTTTGAGGGTTTTTTTGATGCTCATCATCATCATGGCTAGGCTGGCAAATTTTTTTGATGCTATTCATTTCTTATATAGCCAATTGTCAGTTCTGGAAAGAACAGGAGATCTTCATCTCCACTGTGTTCATCTTGTGCGAAATGAATTTTCACTGTATAATCTGTTTATGGCACTGAAATACAAGTTTTACAGAGATGTTAGGACTGTTAGAAAAGTTTATTGTTTCAGGATGTAGTTGGATTCAGGCCAGGGATTTAGTCCTACCTCTAAGCCTGTACTCTGGTGGCGTTTATTGTACCATAAAGGTTAGGATAGAGCAGCAGGGTTGTTTTAAAGTGTAGGATGATCTACAAAGCTGCTGCAGCCCTCTTTCCATGCAGAAAAGGATTTTTCACTGGAAGTTTTCCATTTTGGAATGAATGATGTGCCTTGTTCCAGGTGACTGGTACGAACAACTTTATCCGCTGGTGATTACGCTGAAGGACTGCATGGGAGAGGTGGTGACCAGGGCAAAGCAGTCGATGGCCTTTGTTCTGCTCCAGGAACTTGCCTGTGGTTTGCCACAATGTTTGATGCTGACCCTAAGGAGAGACATCGTCTTTAGTCAAGCAGTAGGTTGTCTTGTGTCACTTATTTCCTATTGTTGTTGTAATTAAGCGTATTGTCCATTCCACCCATTCTGTGGTTTCCTTTTTTTTGATGTTTTTTGTTTGTTTTTTTTTTTTCTTTTTCCAATTTGACACAACTTTTTCATCTATTTTCCATGACATTCACCTAAATATTTTATAATGTGATAGGGAAATGAATAGTAAATCCATAGTAATTGTATCACTGAATCACAGAAGCAGCTCTGCAATGAACTGGAAAAAGTTGTCTTTTCTCCCTTTAGCACAAAGAACGATCCATAAAGCTGTTTCAATAGACTTCCTAAATTATAGACTTCTCAAGTCTAGCCTTGAGTATTCCTTGCTGCTATTCAGAATCACAGAATTGTTAGAGTTGAAAGGGACCTCTAGATTATCCATCATAGTTCACAGAGTGTATTTATAGCCTGGCAACAGAGGTTCTGGTCTCACTTATGTCAGTGTAAATAACACACAGCCCCACAAAGCAAATGAAGCTTAACTAATATAAATTAAGGGAATATTTCACTGTGTTATACACACAAAAAATGCATTAATAAAATATTATTGTGAAGTCATGTATATAGTCACTAAACAGAAATATCTATGCTGTTCTCTCAAATACCTAAATGTTACCTCTGTTGTATATAATGATAGCAAGCCTCATTTTAACTATCTTGTAAAAGTACACCTCTTAATTTCACATTTTTTAATTGTCTTATAGCTTGCTGGATTGGTCTGTGGGTTTATAATCAAATTGCACACAGGTTTACATGATCAAGGATTTTTACAACAGCTTCATACTGTTGGATTGCTCGTGCAATATGAAGGACTCCTTAGTACATACAGTAAGTGTTGTTCTTGGACAAAGTTTCTTATGCATCCAGACCAGAAGTTTACTCAGGAAGTTCTTATTTTAACCTCTGTTCAGTTTCCAGTAATTTGACTTGTTTAATCAACAAATATTATCCTTTGGAGACAGCAGACTTCCATATAATGGCACAGCTGAAGTCATTGATACTGTGTTGTCAGTTCTGCATCAAAAATTACTCATCTGTTTTATTCTCAGTTCCTCTGAGAACACTAGTTGCTAATTAGTCCATGCAGAATGCTGAACTACATTGTCATTAATACAGAAGACTCCTTCCTCAGTACAGCTAGTGGAACTTGTGGGATTAATAAGAATTCTCTTTGTTTGTGTAGGCGTTTGACCTGACCCAAAGTACCAGGTTTATAAAGCTAATCCAAGCAGCAGATTTAAACAGCTGCTGCCTCTATCAGCGTCTGCCCTGATCACACCAGTGAAGATAGATTGAAAACTGTTTGATTCCTAGTTTGTTACAGATGCCATTATTTGATAGGTACTAAAAAGGACATTTGGAGGGGGAAACTGCCTTATATTTCAAAATACTTTGGACTAGATGTATAGGAATCTTTCCCCAAAACAGAAATTTTGATGAAAGTACATGTATTCAGCATTTGTGCAGCTCTTTAATGCAGGCAATTTTGTTTCTCACTTGGAGATTGCTGTCATGATCCCTTTTCCATGATGCTCATTGTTGTTATTCTCAAAACCTTTGTCCTCCATTGGCAGGACAGTTTTTAAAAACACTTTCAGAATGGCCAAAAATGGCTTTTCTGATGTTATTCTATGCACATATAGAAGAGACTGATCTTCAGAGATGCCTAATACTCATCATTTAAGCCAAAGAATTGTCAGCAGTTCTAAAATTCAACCTGTTTATATGTAGGGTACTTTAATGTGGATTTAGGGCTGTGATTTTTAGATGCACAGACTGGAAAATATAATCCTCATATTGCTTTACTATAACCTATGCAGTGACTGATCTGTCAACTCTGCTAATAACCTCTTTAATCTTTCCATGTAGGTGAAGAAGCAGGGATGCTGGAAGACATGGCTGTGGGCATTTCAGATTTGCAGAAAGTAATGTTTAAAGTCATTGAAGCCAAATCAGAAGATTTTTTGCCTATTATAACTGGCAGACGGTAAGAACTTTGTTTCCTGGAGCCCAGGAAACAAAGCTACAGTTTTAATCTCATGGAACCCAGATAACAGTTTTCTTGTTGCTGAATTCCGTTATATGGAGAGTGTGGTAGTTCTACTTTTCAGAAGGTAAATGGAGGGGTAGTGAGGTAGAAGGGATTTTTAAAGCCGATGAAAAGCTAAAAGTGACAGTTTCTAATACAAATTAATCAAAGCAATACCTGGGTTGTGCAGAGTTGCTGGTGCATTTTTCATACATAGATACTGAATCAGAGACAAGTGACAAGTCATTATTTAGAAAAGTTGCCTCTAACTGAGGAACTTTGGCTTTGAAGTGTCTAGAACTTGTATTTCAGTGTGACAAATGAAACTTCAATTCAAAGAGTTAAGCCTTGCTTGTTTTAAGATGGAAACCAGAAAAGTTGGATGCCAAAACTTAGTGGTGGTCACTTTTGTAAAATGAAGCCTATCTTAGCTGCTGAAATAGCACAGGACATCCACAACCTTAGAAATCCTTGCACAAAGCCACTAATACTTTATTAATCTCACATAAGTGCTGCTGAATATCAGGATATAAACTGAAATACTTCATTAATTGTGGCTACTGGAGGGTTAACAAGATTGGGATGGATTTTTCATCCTCATTATTTTTCTAATCTGAGGCTTCAAATGTTTTTACTTTTGCAGAAATCACTTCCTTAATAGTATCATTATTCTTAAGATGACTGTAAATTCAATTCGGCTAAAAGCAGCAACTTTTAGAAAATATATGTTTCCTCTGAAGGGGCCTTTCACCGCTGATTTACTTAATTATTCTGGATGATTCACTCCCATCCTATGGGCCTTCCGAGAAAGGATTGAAATAAATAGCAGGAAGGCTGGAGTCTGATAGGCAACACATTGGGAATAATTAAGAATAATTATGGTGTGCAGATAAAACAGAAGAAATACATCCTTTGTAAATCACAGCAGTCAAAAATCGTGAAAAATCCAGCAGCTACATTTACTGGCTTGCTGCCATCTATGCAGAACACTGAACTGTCACACCAGGAGGTCCTGGGTTTGAAAGACACCTGAGCTTTAAGATGCCTCAGGCATTCTGGATTGGTGGAGTTGTCAGTCTTTAGGAAGAAGAGTTACAACCTGTGTTTGCTGTACTGTACTTACTGACAGGTATTCACTGGATGGAATTGGTATCAGAAAGAAAATAAAATCTTTAAGGCTTACGTGGAGGAGCCCCATCCCTCTTAGAGCTGTGATGAGACTGCTCCCATCAGACAGCATTGGAAGTCAACTGTAAAAAGAGAAGACAGTGAAAAACCTAGACATTTTCTAATTAATGTTTAAGAACACCACAGTTTTTAGATCATTTTGGTGGTTATACGGTGTGACTCAATAGAATGACACTAAGAAAGAAAACAAAGCTACAAATTCTTATCTTGAAGAGTCAGGGTATTAACTTAAAATTATTTTTTCTAAGGAACTGCTTAAGCCTGAGATTCTGTGTGCACCAAAAAAATCAATCCAGAGTGCGTGGCACTGAGTAGCAGTGCACTCACCTGCTGGTGTGGGTGGCTTACCCTGGCCATCTGGGTGAAGTTCTGTTCAGGAACTTATGTTCTTTTATTATAGACAAAAACATGCACTTTTTGAAAATTCTGTACAGAATCACATAATCACAGAATATACTGAGTTGGAAGGGACCCAGAAGGATCCCTGAGTCCAGCTCCTGGCCCTGCACAGGACATCCCCAGCAATCACACCCATGTGCTTGAGAGCATCATCCAAATACTTCTGGAATCCTGTCAGACTTAGTGCTGTGACTACTTCCCTGGGGAGTATCAAACCCCTCTCTGGGTGAAGAACCTTTTCTTAATATCCACTGTAGTGATAGGACAAGGAACAATGGCTTTAAACTGCAAGAGGGTGGATTTAGATTAGATGTTAGGAAGAAATTCTTTACTGTGAGAGTGGGGAGGCACTGGCACAGGTTGCCCAGTGAAGTTGTTGATGCTCCATCCCTGGAAATGCTCAAGGCCAGGTTGGATGGGGCTCTGATCAGCATGGCAATTTTTAGAAACCTTCTGACAGGTCTGCAAATGTTTGTCTATCTCCAAATGTGATAACAAATATTAGAGAACATGGCAAAGTTAGAGATATTTTTAAGCAGTTCTGTTTAGGTAAATCATATAAATTTAAATATTTAAGACCTAAATTTATACAATTTGTTCTGAAGAGATGATGATTTATTATTTACTGTCTTAAAACATTCTTGATTTCTTCACTCTGTTTTCGTACTGAGTTTTCCTTCTCATTAGAAAATGTTGTAGCCACCTTATTCATCTCATGCCTAAATCACCTGATAGCCCTGCACTGAATCTAACTGTAAAAGAGAGAAAGCATGTGACAATAAAATTTACTGCTGTATAAATGTTTCTTGTTTAATTAGAATCATAGATCTGTAAGATCTTTGGTAAACTAATGTCAAACAAGTCCTCCAGATTTCAGTACTTTGAATTCTTTTTTTTATTCTCTCTACCTTACTTCAGTAACCTTC